TTTTTTTTTTAACCTGCATCATTCTCCTTCCCAAACCCATTTCTCCTTTGAAGCTGAGTGTTTTTTCCCCCCATTTTTTGCTGAATTCCTGTGAATTTCAGGGAGATTCCTGTTCCTTCCGGCACTGCGAGGCCGCCCTGGGCAGCGAGACCGTGTGCACGCTGTGGCAGGAGGGCCGCTGCTTCAGGAATGTCTGCAGGTTCAGGCACATGGAAATCGATGTGAGTGCCCCCCAAAAACCCCTCCTCACCCCAAAAATCCCTGCCAGAGCACACAGGGGGATCAGTGTCCCTTCCCAGCAGGGATTGACAGGATTTTGGTTACCGGGAGGGGAAAAAAATCCATGTTTAAGGTGTTTCTCAGCAGGAAATGTTCGTGTTAAATTACGTTATTCCCTAAATTTTTTGCCAGATCCCGTTCTTTAAATGTGGTGGGAAACAAATTCCTGGGAGCTGGAATTTATCTCCAAATTTTTTATCCTAAGCGCTTCCCAAATTTTTTATCCTGAGCTCTTGGAATTCCTGAGAGCTGGAATTCTTCCCAAAATTTTTATTCTGAGCTCTTAGAATTCCTGGGAGCTGGAAATTTATCTCCAAATTTTTTATCCTAAGCGCTTCCCAAATTTTTTATTCTGAGCTCTTAGAATTACTGAGAGCTGGAATTTCTTTCCAAATTTTTTATCCTGAGTTCTTAGAATTACTGAGAGCTGGAATTCCTGCCCAAATTTTTTGTTCTGAGCTCCTGGAATTTCTGAGAGCTGGAATTTTCCCGAAATTTTCATGCTGAGCTCTTGGAATTTCTGAGAGCTGGAATTTCACCCCCAATTTTTTTATCCTGAGCTCTTGGAATTCCTCAGAGCTGAAATTCTCTCCAGATGTTTTATCCTGAGCTCTTGGAATTGTCCAGGGTAGGGAGAAAAAAAAAGATGGGAAGGAGCTAAAGCTCTGAAAGGTAAATTCAGGTGGATTTCACCAGCAATTGAAACCTGAAAATTGAATTTTTTTCCCTGTGAGTAATCCCATTATTTTGGATTTTTTTATTAATTTAACTCTGTTTTTCCAGCTGAATGCTAAAAAAAAATCTACCTAAATTCCATTTTTCCACTCTCTCGTTTTTACCTTGAATTTCTGCTTTTCCCCACAAATACTTTGAGCTTGGATTTGTGTTTTTTCCCCCAGAAAAAGCGGAGTGAGATCGCCTGTTACTGGGAGAACCAGCCTGGGGGCTGCCAGAAGCACAACTGTGCATTCCACCACACCAAGGGCAGATACGTGGATGGGCTCTTCCTTCCCCCCAGCAAAAGTGAGTTTTCCATTTCATTTTCCCTCAAAACACCCAAAAATTCATGCTGAATTTTCCTTAAAATTGCCTGGATTTGATATTCCTTCCCCCAAGCAAAAGTGAGTTTTCCACCTCCTTTTTTTCAATAAAATATCAAATAATTAATGCTGAATATTCCAATAAATTATGTGGATGGGCTCTTCCTTACCTCCCAGCAAAAGTGAGTTTTCCACCTCCTTTTCCCTCAAAACATCCAAAAATCCATGGTTAATATTCCTTAAAATCACCTGCACAGGCTCCTCCTTCCCCTGAGCAAAAATGAGGAGTTTTCCACCTCTTTTTCCTTCAAAATATCCCAGAATTAATGCTGAATATTCCATAAAATTATGTGGATGGGCTCTTCCTACCCCTGAGCAAAAGTGAATTTTTAACTTCCTTTTTTCAACAAAATATCTAATAATTAATGCTGAATATCCAAGAATTGATGGTGAATATTCCTTAAAATTACCTGGATTTGATCTTCCTACCCTGAGCAAAAGTGAATTTTCCACTTCCTTTTCCCTGAAAATACCCAAGAATTCCCAGTGAATATTCCATAAAATGATGTGGAGACTCAAGGAATAATTTTGTGACTCAAGGGGAGTTTGCAGTCCCAGCAATGGACCAAAATTCTGATTTTGGAGGTTTTTTTCCTTGCTCTGTGCTTGGTGATTTTTGCTTTCCAAGGTTCCTTTTCCTTCTCCTTTAATCCCTTTCTGGGTGTGGAATCCAGAACTGAATCCAGCAGTGTTTAATTCTCAAATTTACAACATTTGGGGTAAAAATTTGGGATATTTTTCCTTTGCAGCCACTCTTCCTGAAAGGGATCTTTGCAGTCAGGGAAATGAACCAAAATTATAATTTTAATTTTTTTTCCTTGCTCTGTGCTTGGTGA